TTTACTTTCTCCTGTTGTAAGATGCCAGACTACTCCACTGGGGCTGTTGATGGTTGGATATTGATTTTTGCACTCTGGACTCTCAAAAGGCATCTACAGCATACGCTCTTAAACTTTGAAAATACTTTTCCTAGTGGCCATTTCTTGACCACTCCCTTCCACTCTTATTTCTGAAACAATTAAAGGAGGACTGTCCTGGCACTGTGATGTCCTACAGTCTCAGTCCTGAGAGATCAAAGCAGATTGGTGCATGAACTGCTGTTTAAAGACCTTAAAAAAAGGCAGAAAGAGGATTCACTACTGACTAATAGTGAAAACCTTTTCCCCCAGACATACAAGCAAATGGTGATCTTGTTTGGTGAGAAGCTGGACATATCTTGAGTGTATCCTGGCCTGCCTCAAAGCAGCATGGCCAATAGATCAAGGGAGGGAATTCTGTCCCTCTAGTCTGCCCTGGTGAGCCCCCACCTGGAGTGCAGCACCCAGCTCTGGGACCCCAGCATAAGAAGGATGTGGAGCTGTTGAATGCCTTGGAGACCATAAAGGTGATTAGAGGGCTGGAGCAATTCTCCTGTGAAAACAGGTTAAGAAAGTTGGAGCTGTTCAGCCTGGATAAGAGAAGGCTCCGTGGAGATCTTAATGCAGCCTTTCAGTACCTAGAGGGGGCTTCAAGCCATAATTTCACACAATACTCTGAGTTGGAAGGGACCCACAAGGATCACTGAGTCCAGCTCTTGGGTGAATAGCCCAAATGGGGATTGCACACACGACCTTTGGTGTTGGTGTTTTTAGAATCATGTTCTAACCAGCTGACCTAATCTAAGGTCACCTATGACTAGTTCTAGTTAAGATTTGAGTAAGTCCTTCAATTTGGTGAAATGTAGAAACCCAATCTTTTAGAGAACTATATTCTCCAAGTAAAAAAATTAAATCTTCTCATGGTGGTGCTTGACTTCACTGAACTATCAAGTCAAAGGAAAGAAGAGACAGAGTAGATTTTTTATTTTCTCCACTGAACAGAACATGTGGTGGATACAGAATTAAATTTATCAGAGTTAACACAGCACACTCCAAGATGATAAATCATCATTGAGAATTTACTCTTTTGGAATATGATTCTATGAATATATTTAACCTGATTTTCTAAGGAAATAATTATGCTATGTGAGCATTCATACCTGTCTCTCTCTCAGCTGTAGTGAGACAATAGGCAATTGCAATGAAATCTGAAAAAGTGAGGAGGAAATAAAACAACAGGTTCCTAAAAACTTTGTAAAACTATGTAGTTAATTAAAAAACAGGGACATTCTGAGTGTAACCTGAATTGTTATGATAGGCCAGAAAATTCACAGGAGTATAAAAGAAAAAGAAATAGAGATCCGTCATATATGTCTCAGGCTTGGGAAAATTCTCAGTCAGAGCTTAATATTTTCAGATTGACTGACCAAGGTCAGTCAATCTTAGGATGCATTTGCATCCTAAGGGATGGGAACTAGATGGCTTTAATTCCAGTGTTGATAGAATTTGATTTTTCCAAACAGTCTATTCCACAAAAACTAATATCACCCTTCTTTTATACAGATTAAAAATGAAAATACATACTGAACATGAAAAGAATCTATTGAAAACAGTTATACTAATCATAAATGTGCTCTTTTTGTGCAACATCTAAAAAGCAGGCAATGTTAGATGAGCAAAAAGGTTCTGTGATCTCAACTCAGATGCTGAACTCAGCATAAATCCAATATGAATCATTAAGTGATCCACTGTCTTTCTTAACTTTTCTTCAGGGTAAGTATTTATATTGCCTGATATTCTGACCTCTATTAAAATCCTCTCTTCAGCATCTGTCTCCCAGCACAGCACTTGTACCAAGGAGTCATTCAATTAAAACTTTCCTCTGGCTTAGGAAAGTTGGTTAGGCTTTATACCAGAGACTATTTGATTATCTCTTACACTGACCACTGATTTACAAATGCAAATAAGTCTCTTGATAGCACTGGGTATGATTTTTTCAAGTCCTTCAGTAATGGAAGACTAACATCACTGCACTAATACGAATTATTTTATGCAGAGTTTCCTTTTTAAAATGTATTCAATATTCAAGCTAGAGCAAGGTACTATTTTAAGTATTTTGTCTGAGTGTGCATTCGGGCATTGTACTTTTTTTACGAATCACGAAGTTTTAGTCTACATACAGATCTGTATTTTATGCTAGTAAATTGGCAGAGAATCTCACATATTCTCTGAGGTATGTCAAGGAATTCAAACTATCTTCCTTTTTTTTTTTTCTCCACATCAGAGAATTTGTTTGATTTCTTTTAACTCTGTAACTGTTATTCAAGTGTGTTCTTATGAAAGCTTTAAATGATTTAACAGTGAGCTCAGAGATTGGTGAAGGTACCAGATAAGTGGCTAGCACCAGTGAGGAGTAAAAGGATAAGAGCATACACTAAAGAGAGGACTGACAGGGGTGTACTTACAACTTCTTTAACTCCTGGAAGCAGCAATGATCACAGATTTAAGGAGGATCAGCCTCAAATTAATCGTCTATGTCAAGTCTCACTGAAGCCTTTTAATCTCAAGTCCCCAAGTTTTTTTAACTGCAAACTAGGGCACAACATTTTAAACAGAAACAACTGAATAACATTATTTCAAAGAGAATTTTTTTTTTTAAAAGCTTTCATCAAAAGCCCCCTGTAACCTTGCAGTCAACTTCCTGGTACACCAGAAAGGTCTTGGGCAGCTCGGGAACTCTCAGCAAGTCCTGCACTATCCTCCCACCAGACCATTGGCAGAGTTTGCTCTTGCTTTTTTGGGACCCTGCTGATCTGCTCTCCAGCTCCACACTGGACACTTTCTGCCAACATGCACACAGCAGTCTTATTTTACCTCATGAGATGAGAACATCTCCTCACCCTGGAGCAAGGTTCATACCAAAGCCAGTACCTCTCTTCAGGAAGAGGTCCCACAAATCCATGTCACCTACGGATGAAGGTGATCTCCTAATAAGCACTGGGAAGTGCTCTGAAGTTATCAGTCCCTTACCACCTTCCTTTTCATTCTATTATTAAAAATAAGGCAAGTGAGAGTGCTTTTGCCCTAATACACCTTTAACCATTTTTTTTTCACATTTTAAAATCTTTAAATTATACTGACCATTTCAAAATATGTATAAATTTACTGAAGAAAATATTTGATCGTTTTGGGGATGCAGTATTCTGTGACTTGAATAACTGGACTAAAATGTAAAGTTTATTACCAGCTGTAAACTGTAAAAACTACATTTTTCTCCCTCAATAGCAGCAATCTTAATATATTTTGCAGCTCTGCCATTAAATACAGAGAGATGATTTCCCTCTAATTTCTAAAAGCAGTTTTGTGGAAGAAAATGGGTAATCAACATGGAGAATGTCTTTTTTTCTGAAAACACTTTTAGTCTGACATAAATGACAGTTATTTAAAGGCAATCACTTGTGTTTTATATCTCACACAAAAACCAGCAGACACAGTACCCTGCCTTTGAGACAAAACACTGATACATGTGACAGAACATTTCAAGCAGTAGTAATCAGAAGCCAAAGATCCAGTATCATCAGAAAACAACTGAAACATTGTCCATTAAGATCTGTATCTCTTCTTGCTATTGTTGTTCAGCCTTTAGCTGCTATTACACTGCACCATGAATAACCAATTATCCTCATCTGACAGGTACAGGAGATGCAAATCACATTCGTTCTGCAGTATGTACACTGATAACTCACACATCTGTTAAAAATAAAGTGCTTTTCAAAATATCACCCAGGAGGCATGTGTTCTGTTTTCTGTTCAGTGACCTTTGGAAACTCTAGTCCAATGAATAACTAGTGATGCACGAGTAAGCTGGGAGACAGCAGAAGAAAAGTGCCTATAACCTTAGATGTTATCTGTTATGAAGATAGCTATGATAAAAAGATACATTGCTCTTTCATAATTTGCCTGAGAGAGCAAATCAATGAGAACATAAACTTGCATCCCTTTAAGTTTAATGGTTATGGAATTAATTATCCTGGACAATTAAAAATATAACATGCAGAAAAAGTGCAGCGAATTATATAATTTAAGTATCTAACTTAATGGCAATTTGCTACTTTACAGGCATTTGTTCACACAGCATCAACCACATCTTGATAAATCTGGCCTTCCAGTCAATCATTTCATGTAGAAAGATGCTGAACTGTGCTTCAAGATGGAAAAACTCCATATTCCCAAGATGCTGCTAGAACACCAAAGGAATTCAGCAATGACACTCTTGCATCCCTTAGAAACCTTTGTAAGCAGTGTGACACATTACAAAGCTTAGACTTTCTTTCTCGAACCCTACACAGCCCATATGGCCCTGATCTGTGTCACACAAAGTCAGCACTGTAGGACAGCAGCTACCTAACCAAAAGGCAAGGAAAAAACACCAAATCAAGGGAGACATGGTACAGCACATTTTGCTTTGGCTTTGGTGCTACATCACCAACAAAGCCTTCCCTGCAAGCCCTGATTACAGCTCAGATAATTCAGCTCTGAGTAGGCATATCTTTTATGCATAGATATGGTCTATAGCTTTTATATACCCACTTGGACATTAAAAACCCTTTTGAAATTTTTCTTTTATAGTATAACATTACACATCCTCTATCATACACATATGTCAGGAAACCAAAGATTTTTAAAGAGAAAACATTCCAAATTCCAGTTGGCAAGCTAAAAAGGCCAAGTCATTGAGGCTCTTCATAATAACCAAACACCCACTGTGTTTGTGTCAGTGTCTGAGCACTGACAGACTTATGATGAAGAAAGGCATTTTGAATGCAAGTAGCTAAACCTGAAACTTCTTAATAGCATGAAAGACTTCTCTTGTATCACTCATATTTTTGCAGGTTAGACTAAACAATGACACCTTTATTCAAAATATAAACAATTTATAAACAGATTATATTTTCCCATAAGAGAGAATAAATTATACTTACCCTCTCCAAAGTAATTTCTTCAAATTCATATTCAATTTCTGTTCCATTGACCTAAAGAAAATAAAACCAGAAAATCCCTTAAATTCACATGGAAGGTAAATTCACAGGCATACTGTACAGCTGTTCCAGTATCATTAGTCTACTGAAGCACATTTTTCAACACACAGCTGAGGAGTTCTAAAGTACAGACTACTTAACTCCCCTTTGTCTTGGGGGTGCATAATCAGGTTTATAAACTGAAAGCAGTAAAAGTTCAGTACATAATGGCTATATAAATCACCAACATAGTGACACTGATATTTGATGGAGCATGTTTGTGGACTTTGTGCTAATGTTTAAATAGTTTCCAAAGTAGTAATTTCAAGTAAAATAGAAGACCTGCTTCTAATATTCTCACAATGGAAGACAAATTATTTATGCATTTTCTTACAAGCTCCAATGTACAATTTACAGCTTACAATTTACATTGCAATAGAAAAACAGACAGAAAATTCACAGTACTTATGTAAAACTCACTCACTGATACATACACTGAAATACATCTTGTTTACTATATTAACCTAGGGCAAGAACATGACAGAGGACCTTTGCAAGAGACAGCTGAATGGCAAAAAGGCACAGAATGTTAATGTAATTCCTATGCTGAGTCCCAGTGTCAAAATAAATTAAGCTACAAAATGTAGTGCACCAAAATGGATTGTGTTGGACAAGAAATGTATCAGCTGAGGAGATGACACTGATTTAAGCAGTATTCCAAAACTTCTTCCAGTGTGACATGGATTTTTTTTTTTGTTCCTCCAGGCAACTCATTTAACATACCTTTCTTCCTTTTCTCATTTCTTAAATATGTAGAGTAGAGCATCTGAAAAAGCTACAAAGGCTCACTATATTAAAAGTAAAATGCAGAGCAATGAAAATATATTTATCATTAAAATCTCAGAAGAATTTCAAAGCATCACTTTGATACAACTAGTCAGCATTTCTTTTTAATTGGCAAGAAAGTATTGATTAATTTAAAAAAAAGAAAAAGAAAAATATATTAATCATGCTATTTTATTTTTTTGTAATGATGGGATATGCCCTGGAAAATAGCTTTCCTTTAGTGTTTTACTTAAATTTATACTTAATGAAAAAATATATTTTTCAAGACCTAAACTGAAGGAAAGCATTCGAACTGACTTCATCCTGGAGGAACAAATTTGTTATTTCTCAAAACAAGAACATTTATCACTCCCCCCCACTCCCAACTGCTAATTTTCTGTATTAGATTCCTAACTGCAATCATAAAACACTGTACATAAATCATTCTTTATCTAGTCAAGCACCTTTCAAATGTAATTAGGTACTTCTCTTGTGAATATTATAACAAGGTACATGTACCTGCCAAACAAAAGCTTCCTCTAAAATCCACCAACTATTTAATTTGTTTACAATTCAAGATCTGATAAACCATGAAATTAGTAATAGAAGTACAATCCCCAGAATCTGTGTTGAAAAGGAGAGAAAAAAAGTCCAAACAAACACTTAATGTTTAACAATTGCATGAAATCACACCATCAATGAATATAATATTTAATACATGCATAATATTTGGGTTTTTTAGTTTATTGCGACTGGGTAATGACATCACATTACACTAACACCAGAGATGAACAAAAAAATTTACTACAGGATGTCTTCTTGTCCTGTGCTATCACTTTAATGCATAGACTCTTTTATTAATATAGGCAACTTACTAAGTATGGAGATCATTATAGCTATTCAATTTTTTGTCCTTTCTTGTCTAATGATAATGAAATCAAAGCTATCTATATGTCTCTGTTTTCATGAACTTCTCTTTCATCTTAGCTTGGTGGATAGCTCTGATCTATGTCTTCAATTCCTCAGTCTTGCTCTATAAAGCTGTCTTTGCTTCACTGCTTATAATCGCTTTTCCTTTGCATTAAAAACTCGTTAGTGCAGCAAAATGGGAAAAAGAGGGATATGAGAAGTGAGCAACCTCTGTGGAAAGATGAAAGGAGAAAACACAAGCTGAATACTCAATTTGTATTTGCACACAAACGATATCTTGCTTATGACCATCTAAGGGGTTTCTATTACATCCACATTGGCAATTCTCAAAATGCCTTCAATTCAAATAGAAATTAATTGCAGCAGAGATCCATTAACAGGCTCCATAGCAGCAGGGGTGATATGAATTAAAAAGCTGATCTTGATCCAGTTCCTTTTGTTATTTAAACATACATGTCTGCATATGCTGTTCACTGCCCTGTTGGTTTTGCTGGTTGCTCAGCAAACCAATGCAGTTATTTCATAGAAAATCCAGTAAGATACTGTACCCACCTGAGGCAGATGGAATGATGCTTTATGCAGTACCACTCATTGCTAGCACCATTTTACTTCATATTTAGACTCTCTGGCTGCACCTACACTGCTAAATTATAGTAAGTTTTCAGCCAAGTCTCAGTGCTTAGGGCTGTTTCTGTCTGGAGCCTGCTGGAAGCAAATAGCCAAGGAGTGAGCCAACAGTTAAGCAGGAAGAGAATCATGGCTCCAGCACTGGAACTGGTTTGTTGGTGCTCTCATTTAGCAGCATATGGACATACTCTCTGTTTTTGTACATTTTTAACTTGACAGTCTCTGGCCTGTCAAAGCACCTAAACAAGCTGTCTGAACCTGCAACTTCCATTTCTTGCAAGTAGTGGCAACCCATTCTCTTTGCATGACTTTTCAAATCCTGCTTTTATATCAGATCACAGTAAGAACTTAAAGCAAAATTTACCACAGCCTCCATGGTTTTAGATAACTATGAAAAACTACAAACATTTCCATTGAATTTTCTCTTTTCCATATTTAAAGAAATCATCAGCATTTTCCAGTTGTTTGGGAAAAATTCTTTCTCAGCTTCTCAGAGTGCAAGCTTGTCATGACAGATATCTTTAATATCAAATAAAATTTACATTTATAATGCTGAAATATGAGGTAGTCATCTGACTCTATACTCAAGTGAGTAAAAACAGGCACATGAAGGTCTTAATTAATTTCATCCTCTGTTAGAAATCTCAGGTAGGTGAGGTGGATTGTGCCCAGAGGTTTCCTTTCACTATATACAGAATCTAAAAACGATGTTAAAGTTAGGTGAGCACTTGCCTTAAATCTGTTTTCTCTGAATTTCTCCTAGCTGTGGACTAGTAACAAATTTCTGCTTAAGAGATGCTGCATGCCTTCCATAATTATGCACCACTAAAGGCCGGATCTCCGGTTTAGCAGCTTTTCCAATTGCTTTTTTGGACTTGTCTGCACCTGTAACTGGCAGCACATGCCTGGCATGACATCCAGCACCTATTCCCACAAGCCCAACTAGTCAGGATATCCACAACTCAATCTTTCCCCTTCTCCAAAAGCCAAAAAACCACTGCTTTTGGATTCTGTTCCTGATTTGGGACACTGATGTGCCCTCCTCTGAGAAAGATGCTCAACAGCACCTGTGACAGTCAGGGGCCACAGGACTGCAGCAGGAGTGGGTCAGGGGTACACACAATGAGGTCCATGGCAGGACACAACCAACTGCACCCCTTCTTCAGAGGGCACGGGGGCTGCAATCAATCATGTCTCATCCAGGAACTTGTGTTTCTGGTAGAAGAAAAAACATACTATTGACCAGGACAAAAGTGCTACATGGGAGCAGATGTGCATGAAATCTTTAGATCATTTTGAGGGTCTCTTCTATATCACCAACACTCATTTGCAAAGCAAGAAGGTTCCCAGCCTCCTGACCTCACATATGCTCATGATCCAGAGCATGATGAATGCACAGCCCTTCCAGAATAAGCTACCAATCTTTATTCAAGCCCGGATGTTTAAAAAGAATCCCTTGCAAAGGCAAGGTAACAGTTGCCTTCCATTTAGGGCTGCACCTGTTATTCTAGAGGACTCTCCAAAACATTTCACAAGAAAATGTCTTTAAGAAAGAGAGAGATGTAATGTAGGGTAACTATCTCAACTCCACCGTTCAAGAGAGACTTCCTGGCAAAGCTCTCATCGCTATTAGAGCTCACTTGCCTTTCTTAGAAGAAAGCACTACTCATTTTCTGTGACATTTTCAGGAGAGTGAGAAATGAAAAACAGGTAAAGAGAGGGTTTTATACACAATCTTGTGAAAATCTGAAATAAAGCCTAGCAATGCCAAAGTAAGGACCTGAAAAACTCAGGTTTGTTCCTTTATGAGAACGCACTTACTTTCCAGAAAGTTTCTCTCCTTTATGGTAGTTGAAGGGTGACATAAGCAGCTGAAGTATAAAAATCAGCTCTACAGATTATGCTAAATTCCTAAAATCCTTGAAACAAGCATTCTGTTGGGCTTTTCATTTTCTGCCACATACTCTGCCACTTTATTAACACCTTTTAAGATGTTTTTTCTTACAACAACAATAGTAATTTGATACTCTTTTATTTTACTTCTGCAATTATTTGATTTGATTGACTTGTTTACACTCAAAATAGAAACACTGCATAATTCTTCCTTGCTATACTTCTACCCTACTACAACTGCATCCACTCAATAAGATATATATTTCATTATGTGAATTTTAATGGTAAGAATTGTATTATGATAGCAGCAACAACAGAATCAAAACATACAATTTATACAACTGCAATATTTCAAAACTCCTGGACCTAGCCTATCTAATAAAAATTGCCATCAGAGCTGTTTGTTATGATAACTCTTATTTTCAAGAAGATATTGTTTTGCCTCAAAATCACATCTGTAGATTTTTATTACAAGCAAAACTCATTTTAATCATATTTAATTGGGTATTGTTTTTCAGAAAACTGCAAGAAAGAAGACTGCTTCTTCTACTTCTGTTATCATATGCATAGGAAGATAACTACCCTGACATTGATTTTCATTCAACATCCAAAATTTATTCTTTTGGCTGTATGGTTTCTCCAGTTGTCTCATCACCCAAACCTCAGCAGAATACAAGATTGCCAAATTCTTGTACAAGTAACTTCAGGATATATTTGTTCTACAGAAATTTGACTGTATA